AGTAGGCTCAATCGCCGCGTTTTTGTTAAAGAGACAACTTTTTGATTTGACAAAATTGTCGCTCTCTACTGCGAAGCGAGATATTAATATTATTAATTAATAGATAAAGTTGAGGGCGCGTTAGGTTAGAAAATCTGTCATACCGTCTATCTCTAGCTGTGTGGCTGAGGGGTTTCGCTCACCAGACCTCCCGCACCGTGGCGGCGAGGTGCCACAGTTTTTTGTGACAAATTCACTCTTTACCTTAAGCACAGATAGCTATAAATAGAAATATTAACGATTTTTTAACCTAACGCGTCCTCAACTTTGTCTATTTATGAGAAATTCACTCTTATCCTACTTTCATCGAAATCGGAGATGAGAGGGCTAAACTGAATAGTTACCAAAATCTATATGAGTCATAATGAGATCTAAGTACGGTCCGCCGAAGATTATATGCAAGGGCGCAAAGAGACGAACGACTTTATCGCAGCGGCAGAGAAACACCGGTGCTTGTACAGGCGAGTGATCTCGTCATGGCGGCCAAACAATATCAGTGCCTGTACAGACGAGCGGTCTCGTCGTGGCGGTCAAAAAATACCAGTGCCTGTACAGACGGGCGGATCTGCTGCGGCGGAATTATTATCTATCTCACTCACGTTACAGATCTCAGTCACGGCTAGCAGATCTGCCTGTCTGTACAGGCTACCGGTGTTTCTCTGCCGTTGTGACAAAGTCAACTGTCTATTCGCATTCCTACTTATAATATACTTTAAAGAAGAAAGAAATATTGGTAGGACGAGCTAAACATTTTACTTACCTTTGAAAGCCTGAACCACTATTGGAGACATGCCCCATGAATATAACGTTTCACTTACAAAACTATTGTCACTTACGTTCACTTCCGCCATCTTGATGTTACTCTCTCATATGCACTGTTGCCGGCGAACGCAAAATAAGTAAGCATCTAATGTAAGTGAACCCATTTTCAAATCTATAATTTTTAAGCCAAGAATAAATGGCTTCAAAATAATGTGATGGGGTTTGTTACAATCATATCATAACTTCGGATAAGAATACTATCTTAAGAATAAAATATACTTCGCTCGAATCTAATTATTTTTTATGCAATTGAACATTTCTTATTAAAGAGGGCATTTTATTGAAGGCATTTAATTGAAGGCAAGTAGTATTCAAGAATAAAAATATACGTGGGTTAAGAATTTCTTTTGTGTGTGTGTGTGTGTGTGTGTGTGTGTGTGTGTGTGTGTGT